GTTTTCAGGACTAATGAAAGCGGGAGAAATGCCTCTCCGAAGAAGAGGTGGTTGAGCGTGAGCCCAATAAACTTACGGCGTAAAAAAAGCACTTGTTATGAAACATGAAAATTTGTTGCGGATCCAGGCTGGTTTATAGAACCACCAATAACACCAATTTATGGTTTGCCAAAAATCTATAATATGATCAAGATGAATTTTTATATAACACCATCTATAAATAGCGATGTAATTTTTTGAAAATGTTAAAAGTGCGAGCTTGTTTAAACGCCAATTTTTAAAGACGACGCTTCTGATGATGACTCATAGTCGAAACATGTAAAGCAGAATTTTTATAATTAATAAACCAGTGATAAAGTACAGAAACTATAATTGCCATAATTTTCATCTTTAAAGTGAAAAATCTATAAGGCTATAACTGTCATGCAAGTGTAGGAAATACTATAAAGAGACAACAGATTAGGAAAACAGAGTAGTCAGCAGTTACAGAACATTTCCATACGAAACGATACCACAACACAGATTTTGATAACACGAAGATACTTTCCAGAAGCGGCCACTACCACCAAAAAATGACCAGAGAAGTCATAAGTCACTTTTAGAAAGGATGAAAATAGCGTGCGAGAAGACCCAATCGATGGTAATTGCTAAAGACCCCATAGCAGCAAATTAGTTTAAAAAAGTAATGACGTATAACTGCTTCGGGGTGGAAACATCCAGCAGCAGGCTGCTGATGGATGAAGTGAGGAATCAGGGAAATAAGACAGCGAGACTATAGGACAGATCGTAACGTTACGACGTTACTCGTTACTTTGAACTACGGTTCAACCGTAGTTCAAAGTAACGAGTACTTAGTAGAAAAGAAACAGTTAGAAACAAATACTATAATGTATCAGTAAGAAATTTGGGATACGGAGATTCCAAGTTTAACTAGTTACCTGTCAACGTTCGCAATGTTGACAGATTTACCGTTTTTAAAAGTCAAAGAAAAAAGTCAAGATATAAATAAAGGCATAAAACAAGGGGACGTCATCATCAATCATCGGTGTCAAGTCGATTCAGGTCAAACATCGTCAGTAAGATAATAGCGAGTCGTCGTCATCGAGTCGGCGTCAGTAAAAATGAACATCAACGATATCCAAGAGCTTGGCAATAAAACCTTGGAGGACCATCGCGATGTTACTTCAAGAGAGAAGAGAAACCANGATGCGTAATACATGACATCGTACCCAATTGATGTCAAGGCTCTCCTATCCAATCCCGACTCTCACCGCCTAGTTGGTGCTCTCTGGCAACCTGACCAATCTTGCGCAAGATTACAGTAACCAACCCCGGTAGAAAGCTGGGTGTGTCGTTGCGCATATTCCCTGCCATATTGATTTTAATTACTTTTCAAAAATCAAGAAATCGGTTATTGTTTTTTTACGTTACTATGTATAAATTCATTTATTATTATTATTCAATAGACTTCAGCCAAAGGAAGTCAATTTTTCATTTTACAAATACAAAATCAATTTCTAAAAATACTGGTTATATTATTTATAATATATGAGAAAACCCCACACTGGGTCAGGACTAATGAAAGCGGGAGAAATGCCCCTCCAAAGAAGAGGTGGTTGAGCGTGAGCCCAATAAACTTACGGCGTAAAAAAAGCACTTGTTATGAAACATAAAAATTTGTTGCGGATCCAGGCTGGTTTATAGAACCACCAATAACACAAATTTATGGTTTGTCAAAAATCTATAATATGATCAAGATGAATTTTTATATAACACCATCTATAAATAGCGATGTAATTTTTTGAAAATGTTAAAAGTGCGAGCTTGTTTAAACGCCAATTTTTAAAGACGACGCTTCTGATGATGACTCATAGTCGAAACATATAAAGCAGAATTTTTATAATTAATAAACCAGTAATAAAGTAATAAAGACCTGAATCAAGTCGATTCAGGTCAAACATCGTCAGTAAGATAATAGCGAGTCGTCGTCATCGAGTCGGCGTCAGTAAAAATGAACATCAACGATATCCAAGAGCTTGGCAATAAAACCTTGGAGGACCTTTTAAGGACCATCGCGATGTTACTTCAAGAGAGAAGAAAAACCAAAAACGAAGGTGAGGGGTTTTGAACAGCGATAAGCAAGAAAAAACGAAAAATACTACAAGAAGATCTAGAAATCGAAACAAGCAACAGATATGCCCAACTGGGCGACCACGAAGAAGACAACATGGAAGAAGAAGGACACGACGAGGAAGAGGCAGAAAACGAACAAAGAGAGCAGAGGCCAAAAAATAAACTAGAACCGACACAACAAACAGAAAAAAAAAATTGGCAACAGCCGTCGCAATAAAGAAACCGAGAGTAGCACCGTTAGTTCTAACGCAAAAAAGAAATGGAATCACGTGAGCCAACTCATGAATAACAAGAAAATAAACTACGTAAAAGCAAAACTGGTCGCACAGGGAATAAACATAGAACCCACAACCGACGATGATTACAGACAGCTCAAAAAACTATTAGAAGATGAGCAAATTCAGTTCTACACATACGACTTAACGTCAGAAAAAAAGGTGAAGATAGTAATTAGGGGAGTCATGCACGACACCACCCTAGAGGAAGCAGAAATAGACCTAATGGCACAAGGATACCCAATAACAAAAGTTACCCGCATTAATGGCAAACAGGGTAAACCAGCGCCAATGATTCTTGTCGAAATAAACAAAGAGTACCGCTCTATCTACAACATCACTAAGGTATGCGGAATGGCAGTCAATGTAGAATTGTTACGAACAAAAACAGAGATCATACGGTGCCATTGGTGTCAAGTTTTTGGACACGCACAGAAAAACTGCAACGGCGAATTCAAGTGCATGAAGTGTGGTCAAAGCCATATGACAAAGGACTGCACCAAACCCAAAACTAGTGCTCCGCGATTCGCCAACTGCGGCGATGAACATCTATCCACTTCAATACGTTGTGCAAAAAACCCGAACATCCCAAACTTAAAAAAAACTGTCAACACGCACAAGCCAGAGAACAACTTCTGGAACAAGCGAGAGGAGGCCCGTAGAAAAGAAGTGCTCCATAACGAAAGAAATGATGAAAATACGAAACGAAAAGAAACTGAAACAAACGATGACAAAGAACACAACGACAACCACACAAACAATATCACAGACGAACTTAAAAGAACACTGGGCGAGATGTACGCTGAATTTGTCTTCAGAAATCCTACAGAAAAACAAATGAAAACATTCCTCGTAAAGACAAAGAAAATAATTTAAATATTCAACCATTAATGAGAGACAACAAATATATAGAATCTTTAAAAATAGCATTCTGGAACGCAAACAGCATGAGTCTGAAAAAAAACGAAACGACTCTCTTCCTGGAGGAACACAAAATTGACATATTACTGGTCTCCGAGATATCACTGAAGCCTTGCAACCGATTCAACATACAAAACTACAAAGTCTATCGAAGGGATCGACCTGACGGAAGAAAAGGAAGAGGCACAGCAGTCATCGTCTTAAATCAAATCAAACACGAAGAACTCCCAATCCCGAACATCACACACCTCAACGTAAACGACATCAAAGTTAATACCAAGAAAGGAGATATTAACATGTTTGCAGCGTACCATCAGAAAAACTAGTAGAAGAAGAATTTAAAAGAATACTTTGCCCAAACAAAGCGACAATCATAGCTGGTGATCTGAACTCCAAGCACCCGGACTGGAACAGCAGCGTCACAAACACACACGGCACACAGTGGGACCGCTGGTGATTCTAGCGCGACAAAATTAAAAAAATGCAATACCCATAAACTATAAAATTAATACTATCAATCTATTTGTATATGCCTTCTTTAGCTATTACAGAAATTAAAACTTGTCTAGTATGAATACTCTTAGAGTACTAGCCGATAATGATTATACTCGTTTTGTTTAAAGATTTTAGAGTGTATATTGAAATTTAAAAAAAATGTTGTAAATGTATACACAGGCCATTATTATTTTATTGAAAACTTAGTGTATAAGAATAGTTTTCATTTCTGTAGTAATTACATTACATAATATGTGTTTTGTACTTATTGTTATTATTTTTTTCATGTCACCATGTTTTATTCTAAATTTCCATGTTTTTTTTTAATTATAACGAAATTGTCGAATTTTCTTGAAAAATGATTGATATGACGTTATTCTTTGCATATTTTTATATCATTTTCAGTAAACAGAGGCTGCGGTAATTTGCGGTCAATTACAATATCTTCAAAAGTTTTAACTTCCAACGCCAACGTTCTAGATATACGTACGTGCGTAAATTTGATAATGTACGATAATTTTATAATGTAATGAGTTACGTTAATGAAATTTGGTATATAGGTATGGGATTATAATAGCAGATCCGTTTCAACATTTAAGCCAAACCCATCAACCGGAAGTGGTACTTTATCTGCTACTTATATAATTTTTATATACATATAATCTATTATAATTTCGTGTGAGTTTTGAAAACGATGAAAAGTTATTAAAATCTAAATTAAAACAAAGTCACATGACTGGAAGTGGTACTTTACTTGAACACCCACTTGTTATTTTTCATATGAACTAGGACTTCAAGAGGAAAAACTATTATGTACTAAATGTCAATCAAATCACGTTGGTACTTTTAAGTTAGTAACATTCATTATTTTAAGTTTGTAACACTGGTGGGTTGGTACTCAATCCAGGCGGTGCGCATTGCGCGCGATTGAGCATGTAGGGATTGGCTAAGGGACGAAGCGAGTGGCGATGAATTTAAGTTAAATAAATTGTTAAAAAAAATATCAAGTGGTAAGTGCAAATAAAAAGTGAATGTGTGCAAATTCATAAAAAAATAAAACAGTGTTTGGAAAACCCTTGGAGTGTGCGGACGACTGTTTTAAAATCCGAATTTTATTAAAGTCTTAGTGAAGTTAATAGCATCAGTACTTTTCAGTACTAATAATGGGTGATTTCATCACAAACGGTGAGTTATTTCACGCCTGCTACGCCAATCGAAATATGAGTAAAGCAGAGGAAATTATTATGGAATATTTGTCGTCCAAATTGGTTCAAGATTACACCTATGAAACCAAATTAAAGCGAAAAGTGACTACTTTTTGCCACAGTTTACGTGTTAAGTGGCAGAGTTCATCAAGAAATAAAACAACATTTGAAAAAAAGCATCACGTTTGGTTGCAACGTAAATTCGACATAACAATGAAGTCTCAGTTAAATGCACCTGAGGTAATAAACCTTAATACTAATAATGGTCCTGGTAGACCTTCCAAAGATTTTGAATTAAGTAGTATACGGTCAAAACAACGAAAAGTAAAATATTTAACCGATACTGTACCACCTAATGAATTATTGTTTGCAACTAAAACAAAGTTAAATAAAACCGGAAAGCGAGCTGCGGCTGATTTGCTGTCGTTATGTACAGAGCACTCCCCAAATCGCCCTGTAAATATCAGAAACGTTTATCGTGAGAGTCTTACGGATGCTAAAAAACCTGTACCTATGACTCCCGATGAAGCGCTTGCTCTATTCATAAACTGCGACCTTTCGAAAACTTCATACTTATCGTTGAGAGCAGAAAGCAAAAAACGCAATGCGAATATATACCCGATGTATCAAAAAATTACTGAAGCAAAGAAGAAATGCTATCCGGACAATGTGACTGTGAATGATTCTGGTATATAGATTTTTATGCTTGAAATGTTTTGGGCTTCATCCTTATTATTAGTATTTATCTTAAACACCTTATTTAATTTTTTTAGGAGCATCAGTACCTTTACAAATGTTGCTAAATCATACATTGCAAAGACTGTTTGTAAATGTTAAAATTCCTTTAGGAATTAATAAGTTAGAATTACATTGTAAATGGGGTGCTGATGGAAGCAGCGGACACTGCGAGTACAATCAAACTCCAGTAAAAACGGAAACCGACATCAACGGAGTCTACAATGACGCTGATTTATTTTTAATAACTTTAGTTCCAATTTATTTAAGAAATTTGAATGAGGGAAAGCAAGAGATACTGTGGGAAAATCCGCGACCTTCATCTACTCGATTTTGTCGACCTCTAAAGTTAATCTATAAGAAAGAAAGCAGAGAATTGGTTGTATCAGAAATAGAAAATGTTCAAAAACAAATTAATGAGTTAATTCCTCTGCAAATAAGACTGGAAGAAGATCGTATTGTAGAATGCAGTTTCACTTTACATCTCACAATGGTAAACATAATTAAATTTGTGTTTGTTTGAATTTATCTTCATAATAATTTGTGACCTAACTATAGGGAGGGGTTTATATGTGATTTATTTAGATTCTGTAGAAAAAGACTACTTTTCTCTTCTTTAGAATCTAAAAAAAAAATAATGTTTTTTTTAGGTGGATGGTAAGACTATAGTTTTTCTAACTTCGGGAACCACCCAAACTTGCTACATCTGCGGTTGCAAACCCACTGAAATGAATCAATTAGAGGTTGTAAGAAAACGTGCCATAAAAGAAAAAAGTTTGCAATACGGTTTAACAATTTTACATGCATGGATTCGATTTCTAGAGTGTATTTTACATATTGGATACAGGCTGAATTTAAAAGCTCCATCTAAGCGTGGTGCAACTCAAGAACAACTAGAAGATATTGAAGCTCGAAAGCAAGATATCCACGAGAAATTGTATAGAACATTAGGGATCCGAGTAGACAAGGTCGTACAAGGTAAAGGTACCTCAAACACTGGCAATATAGGAAGAAAATTTTTCAAAAATTGGGAAAAGGTTTCTGAAATAACAGGAGTTGATAGCGAGTTAATCAGAAGGTTTGGAACGATATTAATTGCACTAGCGAGTGGTCACGATCTTGACAATGAAGCTTTCTCTGTTTACGCTAAAGAAACTGCTGAAATATATGTATCAAAGTATAATTGGTACAGGATGCCAGTATGTGTCCACAAAATTTTGATGCACGGAGGGGAAGCAATTAAAAGGTGTATGCTACCTATAGGTACTTAAACTTTTTTATTTTTGCACAACATAAAGAGTCATTAGACTGTAAAAATGACAATAGTAAAAAGTAAAGCTTAAATTATTTATTGATATAATAGGAATGATGTCAGAAGAAGCACAAGAAACGTGCAACAAAGTGTACAGGAGGGTGCGAGAGAAACATACAAGAAAAATGGATCGCCTTGTGACCACTGAGGATCTGATAAACACAATGTTTGTTTTGTCAGATCCTATAATATCATTAAAACGGGGACTTCCGAAACATAAACGCGAAGCATTGCCGGACGAGGTTCTTCAGCTTCTCAAAATTCAAAAAGGCGAAGTAGCAGAAGATAATATAATAAAAAACCAAGAGGAAGACAATAATGATGAAGAGGAAGATCAAGAAGAAAACGATGACGATGAAGAGGAAGCAGAAGAAAATAATTTTGCGTTTTTCTAAACTTTTCGTTAATTTATTTATTTTATAATTACTACTAAAAAAGGTAGTGTGGTTAATAGTCCTTTGCATTCATGCCATTTCGTCAAAATAGAACAACCAATTCAAATTTAATATCTTAAAGCTTTTCATTATTATAAATACTTAGAAAATGATGTCCCTTTATCTCTAGTTGAATTTCTACTTTATATTAAGTATGTGTTCTGCTAAAGTACCATTTCCGGTTGATGGATTTGATTGTGTTTTCCGACGCACGCACACACACTTAATGCTTTGAATGGTTATTAATATCGGTTCTAGAGCCTTAAAAATATACAGATTAATCAAAATCTTGAAGCATATTTTTCATGATTATAATGTTCTCTTCACATAGCTGATAATACGTGAAAGAGTAAAACGATTAACAAACGCACATTTTTATTAGTTTCGTTAAATGATCTTAACTTAATAACAACACTATATCAATAAATTTCTAACCGTCAGAATTTTGTCGCGCTAAAATCATAATCTGTCCCACTGTGCGGCATAAGATTAAAAAACCTTGCCGGGGAAGTAGACCTACTGGTCATCGGCCCAGAAGAGCCAACTCATATTCGCACAGCAAACAGTTCGGGTGATGTCCTCGACATAACCATCATTAAAAACTTAAATAATAGAATAACAATCAAGACAATAAATGAGCTCTCCTCAGACCACTACCCAGTAGAAATGGAAATAGAAATCCAACCAGAAATTCAAAAACAACTAATCAAAACCACCAACTGGAAGAAGTTTAAAGAAACAATAAAAATCAAGGAGACGCAGATCAATTCAACACTAAGCTTAGAAACAGCAATAACAAGCCTTGAAAAAAGGATAGTAGATGCCCTAACAGTATCAACAACAACCAGGACAATAAATCCATGCAAAACTCAACTCTCAGCTGAATTAAAACAGAAATTTGCGGAAAAGAAAAAACTCATAAAAGAATACGTAAGAACAAGAGACCCAAACACCAAGAATAAACTTAATAGAATCATTACGGAAATTCACAAAAGCATTGACAAAATAAACCAAGAAAAGTGGTGCAAGGAAATAAAAGAGCTAACAACGGAGAACCAATCACTTTGGAAGATGACAGCAGCACTAACTGGGAAAAGGAACAAACAGACGATCCCACAACTAAAAACCGAAAACAAAATTGCAACGACAGACGAAAAGAAAGCAAATATCTTTGCGTTCAAAAAACAATTCAGCCCGAACCACATCGTGACGTAAAGAATCAAGACTTCTACGACTACATAGAAGCAATGACCACTGAACACGAAAACGACACGGATCAAACAATCGAACCTGTCGGAACAGAAGAAATATTTACAACAAATAATCAAAAATCTAAAAAACAGACAAGCATCTGGCATTGAAGGCATAACAAACGAGGCACTAAAGCAACTGCCACCTCACAGCATAGACGACATAAAAACGATAGCCAACGCAATAATAGAACTTGGATATTTTCCACAAACATGGAAAAAAGCAATCACAAGAGTGATACACAAATAAACAAGCCAAAAGTCCAATCAACCTCCTACAGACAGCCTTCTACCAGCAATCTTTCAGCCTTCTATTAGGCTTCTACCAGCAATCAGTAAAGTCATCGAGAAGATATTGCTCAGCAGACTTAAAACTGCCACCAAAGACAACAATGTAATCCCAAACCACCAGTTTGGATTCAGAAATGAACATTCCACCGAACAACAGGTCATCCGGCTGACCGAACATGTAATAGACAGAATGAATGTCAGCAAACACACTGGAGCGATCTTTCTGGATATTGAGAAAGCTTTTGATAAAGTCTGGCACGCAGGCCTAATCTATAAAATAAAGAAAGCAAACATACCACCAAGACTAACTAAAATCATAAGGTCATACCTTCAAAACAGAAAATTCCACGTCAAAATAGAGAATACAATTTCGAAAGGAACAGAAGTAGAGGCCCACAAGGCTCCGTCCTGGGCCCAACGCTATTCAACATCTATATTTCGGATATTCCAACGCCGACCAATACCGTTTGCAGACGATACCGTAATATACACCACGGCCAGGATGAAATCATTCATTAAAAACCGACTACAAGAAGCCACTGATACCATCATGAAATACATGAATACATGGAGGATCAGAGCAAACGAAGAAAAAACAGAAGCAGTCATGTTCATACAAGGTCACCAAAAAACCCAACCCCGAAAAAATCAAAATAAAAGGAAAAGAAAGAGAGTGGAAAAGGCGTGCTAAATATCTAGGCATCATATTAGAAGAAAAACTAAACTTAAACACATCGAAGAAACAAAAAAAAAGTAAGAGGATTAGCAGCACAACTCTACCCAATCATTAACAGATGCAGTAAATTTAACATAGAGAACAGAATAAATATTTTCAAAGCAATCATCCTACCAGCGGCCACCTACGGGGGAGCAATATGGAACATAGCCAGCAAAAGTGGATTAAACCAACTACAACGAACGCTTAACAAGATTCTAAGAATGACTATGAATGCAGAGAGCTACGTCAGCAATACTCAACTAAAAAAAGAAGCTAACATTAAAGACATGGTAACCTTCATAGAGGAGACTACCGATAAATAAATCAAAAAAATGAAACACCACTACAACGCAGAGATACCAAAAGCAACTCAAACAAAACCCAGAAAAACAGACAAAAGAGCCACAGTAATGACGAAACGCAAGATGGAACCCGAAAACATCGGCTTCAAACCCAAACGACAAAAAAATGAACCAACACAAAGAAAGGAAAGAAACCCCACATCAGATGAATCACTCAATCATTCAAAAAAAATTAAAACAAAAAACAAAAAAATGGAAAATAGAGACGAACGGGCAAAAGAGTGAAAACTCGACCCCGAATCAAAAATGAGTTTCAGTCAAGGGGACGGACTTGCTCCGACAAGGTTTAACTTGACCTTTGAATACGTCATACGCCATATAAATGTCGGAAAAACAAACTCACTAATAAATTAATCCGTACAAATTACAGCAATGTTCCAATGTGGGTTGGACGCGTCAGGACGAGCATCAAAATGGTTGGAGTTTGTTCGAAAACTTATAAGCCCAAATCTTTTTGACGAAACCCTTAACGGGGAACGGTTTTTGAAATATTTCAATGTATTCCTTGCCTACTTTGCTGATAAGAATTGTTTCCCAAACCTCTCGGTCTTACCGCTCCGTACCCTTGTCAGTACACCCGGTATAGAAGGATCGAAGGAACCAATATACAACATAGAATAAGGACCGTGTACAGAAGCTACTTTGCCCTATCAAATGTAGTTCATTCCAAAAGTGTGCATAGACATTCAAAAATTAGAGTCTATAAAACCATCATTAGACCTATACGGTGCTATGGGTGCGAGATATCGATTATGACAGAGAGCGGAAAGAATAAGCTGTAAGTATTTGAAAGAAAAATTCTGACAACAATATTTGGTCCAATAGCGGAAAATGAGATATGGAGAAAGCGATAGAAAGTGGAAGTTAACCATCTGTTCAAGGAAGCCTTGTCTCAGTATTTATCAGGTTGTAAAGTGTGGAATGGGGTGGTCATGAAATACAAATGAGCGAGGATAGGAATAGAATGCCTAAGAGGTTCTTAAGCACCAGAATGCAAAGCAAGAGACCAAGAAGGATGTCAAGAAAACGATGGGAGGGCGCACAACGATTTATGAGCATCACGACGTGGAAGAAAGTAGCTCTTGACCGGGAGTATGTTAGGCAAAAGATAATGGAGGGCAAGACTCAATTTGGGCTGTGGCGCCTATGGTGAGAGAGAATGAATAATACAAAACAGTTTTATCACAAAATAAGGAATCAAAGGCAAAAAAAGAGGAGCTCAGCATACATTGGCAGACGATTTGGCAGTTTTCCAAACACAAACGCTTTTTGCATATTTTGCAAAAATATAAGCATTTAGTCAAACGTTTTGTTTTATTGACGTTGCAAGATAAATCTTTTCCTTCTCTAGCTATCAGCTTCTAAAGTAAGCACTTAGTTTGACTAATTTTCTTCTTCACATTCTTTTAGGTCTTTTATCACATTTGTCATGTGTTTGATCATTTTTTTCTTAATATTTGATCGGAATGTTTCGCACAATTTGTCATTTATATCAATACTTATTTCCTGGGGGTGTAATAGGTTATGATTTCTAGTGATGGGACGGTATTTTGGAGCGGTATTTTTGAGGAGCGTACCGCTTCCACGCGATTTTAAAATACCCGTTACAGAACGTTACTAATATTACATATTTGTAGTGATGGTTCGGTATTTGAGGAACGATATTTTGGAGCATTATTCTTATGGAACATACTATTCCGGCGCGATTTTTAAAATATCCGATTCCGAACGTTATATTATAACGTTATATAAGACAGTCAGGTTAAACGCCGTTATATTGATATTTGTTTAAGGCTCCCTTAATATCTTCTTTTTTCAATTTTAGGATAGTGTGTAATTTTTTAAAATTATGATATTAGGGGTAGGAAATATATAATTTTTTCTAACTTGCTACGAAACCAGCTATGTTTTTGCTCATGGTCACGGTATTTTGGAACGGTATTTTTGTGTAGCGACCGTTCCTGGAGCGCGACACGATTATGAGCGGTATTCCCATCACTAATGATTTCTCCTTTGATGAATCAATTTGATCACAACGCATGCCAGAAAAAAGAATTACATTTCTTTATTCTTTGGTACATAGAAAACAAGAGTGGATTTTTTCCAAATTATGGTTTAAAACGCGTTATTTTCAATAAAAAAATAAAGCCATACAAAATAATACAATACTTACCTAGTTTATTTTTTGAAATAAGCAAATACATACTTTTTTGTAATAGCAACTAAAGATTTCTCATCCATCCATTTAACGAGATCCATAATTTTATAAGGATCAACATCCATAGGATAAATTTTCTCTTCCATGTAATCAATTTCAACGTTACAAAAAGCTGTAGATACGTGGACAAACGCCTAAAATATTTTTTTTAAATAATATCTCCATATTATGCCTTTATAGTACTACTTACTTGTAATATTTTCATATTCATGCATAATTTAAATAGTTGATACGTCGATGTAGTATTAGTTATTACGGCTTCTTTTAGCGGAAGATTCATACGAATAGAAGCGGCAACATGAAATACAATCGATACCTCCTCAATTAACTTTTCCTTATCGATTTCGGACAGATTCAAGTTTTCCATCATAAAATCGCCGCTTATTGCCTCGATTTTATCGTAAGCTTTTTCGTTCACGTTATGAAATGTAAATATCTAAAATTTAATATTTTTTAACTTATTACATTAATTGGAAATTAATGACTTACGATGCCATTCGTTAATTGCTTAACCCTTTCTTGAGGAGTACATCCTTTTTTGGAACGTATAAGAATGTAGATTTTTTTTATATCCGGGAAACTTCGCACTAACTTTTCCAGCAAAACTTTACCCATGTATCCAGTTGCGCCGGTCACTAAAACCGTTTTTCCGGTATAAAATTCAGTAATTGGACTCATTTTGCGGAAATGACAATCTATAAAAGAAAGTAATAAGAGAATGAAGGAAGTTGCAATGTTTTGAACTCTTTATATGAATATTTGGATATTGAAATGTATTTATGCATATTTTAATTACGTATGTAACGAATAAATTATCGGAACAATGACAATGTTGACAATGTATGACTCGCAATTTTGAAGGATGTTAAGTATTTTATCCTTAACATTAACATCCTTAATACAGAAGGTTCTTAACATTCACCAAATTTGGTTTGTAATGTACTAGGAACTATAATTGTACTAGGAATGTAAAAATGACATATTTTTACTTCATATTTTACTGTTTGAACTCAGTATAACATTTTTCCTATCTCACTTTCGACTTGGTTGGAATAAGTGCTTGCATAGCTTCCTCAGCACTTTCTAGCACGTTTCCAGGAAATTTAACGCCAATAATTTTACAAATTATTGAATCTTTTTGACTACCTAGCAACCAACTTGTATAACGACTATGACTTTTACGGAAACAGTGGCAATAGTTATTTTTGATACAAGATAGCGAAATGATACTTTTGCATTCGAGAACGAAATCGTTCGAGAATGCAAAAGAATTTCGCTGTCGTGTATCAAACAACATTTTTTCGAAAACTGCGTATTCTAAAGTTATAAATTAATAAAAAGCCCAAATTCTGTATAATGACACTTAGAATTCATTTAATGTTGTCAAAAACTTAACGTCACATCGATTTAACCTCACATATTGAACAAATGTACTATTATAAATTTGCATTTAAACGTGAAATGAAATGATAAAACAATTAAATGTTGATTATTTTATGTTTATAATTTGTTCATAACAATAAATTAACAATTAATAGTACCAAATTCTTTGATTGTCGTAGCTGGACGTAAAAGTCTTTTACGTCCAGGACGTAAAAGTTTTTTACGTCCAGGACGCAAAAGACTTTTACGCCCTGTTGACAAAAAACTATCGTTCTAACGGTCGCTAAGTACTACGCAAAAGTCAACTTTTATTAGCAGTTTTCGAAAAATGAATTTTTGATTTATTAATGTTCGCATTAAAGTCATAATAATTCATCAAAATGCGAAGGTCAAAATGGTCGCCTGAAACCGATAAATTATTGAACAAACTTCGATATTATGACACATTAAAACCTTAGATGTCTTAAAATCCTGACATCTCGGCTGTAATACTAATAAGGCTAGGTGCAAATTGAGCATAAATTGAGACACGTGTGACGCGTGCGACATGACGTAACACGACCGACACGACGCAAACACATGGCTTTCGCAAATTGCCACGCAATTTCTTATGCCTCTCGACCACTAGCAACGCGGTTTTAATTTAGTCTTAAAGTGAACGACGGAAGAAGAAAACTGGAGTTGTTATTAAGCTCTGAATGTGATTCAGACTGGACTCCTGGAGGAGAAGAGGTATTATTATACTCGTTAACGAAAAAAAAAACTGAAATCCCCTAATAACTTTTACCTATCGAAAAAGAAAATCATGGGCAATTTAAAATGGCCGTGATGTATTCCCGGTGAAGTGAGAATATCTTCATGATGAGGACATCCCGATGATGTCTTCACCAATTACTTCCGTTTGAACCGAAACCAGTTTACCGAAGTACATGGAATGATTCAACAATTTATTGATGCAGATGGATATACTGCTCAAAAGCCGATAGAGACTGAAGAAAAACTTGGAGTATTACAAGTATAGTGTTAACTGATGATGAGGTCACTGGAAGAACTTCAGGCTCCTGCTTTGAGGTGTATAGTGGATTGGTATAAAAGATGAAATTTGCGGCGATAGCTGTGAGGTGGTTGGATCGGGAAGATGAAAAGTAGTGTTGCACTTGAGTCATACATGATACAGTTGCACGCTTCCTTTTCCATCACTATTGTCTCCAATAAAACCTAGGGGTCGCTCAACGACAGTTCTTTCACCATCTAGTAAAACTTTTCCATTACAATCCAGTTGAGTGAACTCTGTGTTTTCAGCCAAGTTTTCACTTCTTGTTGGTTCTAGTATCGATACCTCACTCACACAACTAATCATAACACGTGGTACGTGCTGCGCGAAAAACTGTGCCACTGCCACAGACGCTGTAACAGTGGCACAGTTTCAGCACACGTGTTCGTGCAGATGCGAGTCGTGCTACGTCGCGCCCTTGATGAATTTGCGCTGTCCCATTCATTTCCTGTTGCTACAAAAGTATGTGCTGCGCTGTGTCATTTCACACGTATCGCAATTTGCGCATAGCCTAAGGCTAAAGTTTATGTTAAAATATGCATGCATTTTGTACTACTGTTAAAATAGTGTAAAATAGTGTTAATTTATATATAATGTCGGTATTTTCTTAATAGGTTCAATTCAAAATAACATCTAAATATTTAAAAACTCTATTCTATTAAAATTAAAAAAAAGTACAACTAAATAAAATATATTTATAAACAGGCGACTACAAACCTCAGCATACATAAAAATCGATATACAGTGTGTCCCCGGATAGGTGAAACNCCGAAGTACATGGAATGATTCAACAATTTATTGATGCAGATGGATATACTGCTCAAAAGCCGATGGAGACTGAAGAAAAACTTGGAGTATTACAAATATAGTGTTAACTGAAGATGAGGTCATTGGAAGAACTTCAGGCTCCTGCTCTGAGGTGTATGGTGGATTGGTATAAAAGATGCGGCGATAGCTGTGAGGTGGTTGAATCAGGAAGATGAAAAGTAGAGTTAGTTGCACTTGAGTCATAAAAAGAGAAGCACATAGAAGGTGGCCGGCTGGAAGAGCGTATAATTTCCGCTTCTGCTCTAGACACTGCTTGGAAAACTTGCGATCTGATTCTATGCTGATAAAGGGGAGACATTCGTTTTGTTACTTAGTACATGGAAATGAAAAGTTCTATATAACTTTGCGAGGTCGTCCGTGTTTCCGTTTTTCTCTAATAGTTTTCTTCGCTCGTTGTTGTGCCCTTTCTTCTTGCTGTTGAATCGATCAACTCATAAGATTGCAGATGTCGATAGTACCGTGTTTTTTCTTTTCTCGCGGGGTCTGTGCTGTTAAATTTGGAGACGGAGGTGATGATACAGTTGCACGCTTCCTTTTCCATCACCATTGTCTCCTATAAAACCTAGGGGTTGCTCAACGACAGTTCTTTCACCATCGATTAAAACTTTTCCATTACAATCCAGTTGAGTGAACTCTGTGTTTTCAGCCAAATTTTCACTTCTTGATGGTTCTAGTATCGATACCTCACTCACACAACTAATCATATCACGTGGCACGTGCTGCGCGAAAAACTGTGCCACTGCCACAGACGCTGTAGCAGTGGTACAGTTTCAGCGCACGTGTTCGTGCAGATGCGAGTCGTGCTGCGTCGCTTCCTTTGATGAATTTGCGCCGTCCCATTCATTTCCTCTTGCTACAAAAGTATGTGCTGCGCTGTGTCATTTCACACGTATCGCAATTTGGGCCTAGCCTAAGGATAAGCACAAAATATGCATGCATTTTGTACTACTGTTAAAATAGTGTAAAATAGTGTTCATTTATATATAAAGTCGGTATTTTTTTAATAGGTTCAATTCAAAATAACATCTAAATATTTAAAAACTCTATTCTATTAAAATTAAAAAAAAGTACAACTAAATAAAATATATTTATAAACAGGCGACTACAAACTTCAGCATACATAAAAATCGATATACAGTGTGTCCCCGGATAGGTGAAACGACTCTTATAAAAGGTAAATTTTTTTTGGCATTAATTGTCATTTTTTGCGGTTTAGCCCTGCTTGATTAAGAACTAATTTTGAACATATTTTCAATTTTTAAAAAACAAGTGAGCCTTGGCTGTGAAAGAAATACTCTTTTTCGGACACTCACTGGAAATGGCCTATATTTTCTTATTACAAATCGTAAAGAAAAGTACCTCATTTCTTTATAGCAACCATTTCTTTATAGCAACCAAATAAACAATTAATTATTTATTAGAATAAATATTAAACGTACAATTATTAAGGTTAGAGAAGCTTATACTTGATGTAACCTGTTGTAACTGTAAATTACCACATGTTAGTGACGATTTTGATAATACCTCCTGATGAATCACTACTTTATTTTTTTGTTTGGTTGCTGTAGTGAGGGAAACGGCAGAAACGACAATTTGATTCTCGAGCTCGTCGTGTACTTTTTAAATAATTTGTTATAAAATGTAGGTAATTCATTTAAATTGATTAATTCGTTAAACAGGAAGTAGGGTTAAGAAGTCCCGAAATTTGGTGAAAAATATAAATTTAAGTTGGTACTTATTGATACATTTCAAATCATTAATATAAATCAATCTAATTAAGGGGGAAAAATGTGTAGGTTGGAGAGGGAAGGGGGTGGTAAACAAGGAACTCAAAAGTTGCAAAGTTTAAACATTACCATATTTAAAAATTCTGGTGCATTTGAGTAAATATGGAAAGAGAATTTTGGAAAAAAAGGGGGGTGTGTTGAGTTCCTTGATTATCGTTCCTCCTTTATGCCCCCCTTACCTTACTCATTTTTTCATTACAGTTAAAATTAATAGTTTGAATATTGAGTGTATCAATGGGTGCCAACTTAAGTCTTATACAATACCACTGGAATTTCAACATCATAACTTCCTACTATGCAATCACATATATATTTTTCCAATCGTTTTATCATCCCTTATTAGATATCGATTTATTGCGTTTTAACACACCCCCTTCTTTTCCAAAATATCCCTTTCCTTATATACTCAAATGCACGAGAATTTTTAAATATGGTAATGTTTAAACTTTGCAACTTTTGAGTTCCTTTGATTACCGTTCCCCTTATCCTTTCCCCTCCCTCACCCACCTTACTCATTATTTTTTCTTTTTAGTTCAAATTTAATAGTTTGAATTTTGAGTGTATCAATAGGTACCAACTTAAATCTTATTCGTTATCACCGGAAGTTCAACATCATAACTTCCTACTATGCATTCACATATACACTTTTCCAATCATTCTACCCTCCCTTTTTTGGGATTTCGATTTATT